GAGTGTACGGGTCAGTAAACTCAGAGCTGAAACGGCGAATAAAAGCTAGTATAGATTAGGACTTTGCTATAGTATAGTTTAAATGACTATTACAAAGAAATTTGGAGTCGAAAACCACTCCAAGATCAGACATTTCATTACGAGTGCTTAGACATGAGCCAAAGATATAATAAGAAGTGGGGATCGGGGAACGAGACTTAGAAGATGCGATATGAAAACACTTATTTATGTTTAACTGCAGTTGATTTGTACGACATAAGACAGCAACATTATTTAGATCGGACTGAAGTCTGACAGAATCGAGCTGATTTGTAACCGTAGTGAAAATTTTTAAGTCATCGGCATATAAAGGATATTCAGAATGGTTAAAGCAGCTAGATATGTCATTAATAAAAATCACAAAGAGAAGGGGACCTAAGACGCTACCCTGAGGTACTCCAGAGGTCGCAGTAAAAGATTGCGTCGAGATGTTGTCCATTACGACAACACTCTTTCGTGACGAAAGGTAAAACTTTACCCACTTCAGAAAGGTAGAGTTGAAACCCAAACTAGACAATTTGGATATTAGGAGCGAATGACTAACTTTGTCAAAAGCATTGGTGAATTCGGTATAGACAGTGTCAACTTGCAAGCGATTGTTAAAAGCAGATAGGCAAAATTCGGAGAAAACGGCTAGATTTTTAACAGTTGATCGACCAGACATAAATCCATGTTGATTAACTGAAATCAGCCGTTTGGTTGCAAAGTACATCTTTTGCTTTACAATGAACTCAAATAACTTAGAGACAGTAGACAACTTTGATATGGGACTGTAGTTGGCGATATTGCTTTTATTACCACTTTTGTGAATGGGCGTGATGAAGGTAACCTTCCAGGCATCAATAAATTCGCCATATTTAAGGGATTTATTGAGCAACAGTAGAAGAGGGTATGCAATAGCCGGGCAGTTTTGGAGAAGACATGGGGACAGACCATCAATATCTGCCTGCTTTGAGGATTTCAAATTTTGGATGCCATCAACCACGTCATCAAGAGTAATGGTGAGCGCTCCAAAATCAATTGGGGCATTCACATTCAAACAGCTGTCTTCAGTAGAATCTACTTCAGGCTCGTAGTTTGAGCTAAAGAAGTCTGCAAACAGATTTGCAGCCTCTACAGAGGAATTCGCATGTAATCCGTTATAGAAAACTTCCGACGGAATGCTTGAGCAATTTTTTTTTGATTTGACGTACCGCCAAAGGCCTTGGGATTCGATTTAATTTCAAGCTCAAATTTTTGAACATAATTTCTATGAAGAATATTACTCAGGGACTTAAACTCTCTTGAATAATCCAAATATTTTTCCTTATGTGATAAAGAGTTTGATACTTTAAATTTTTTATAGATCTTATTCCTTAAATTTTTAAGCTTCTTTAAATCCTTAGTATACCAAGGAATTCTATAAAAACTCTTATTTCTTGGCGGCAATATACTTGAACAAATTTCATTTAATCGGAACTTAAAAGTATCAAAACATAGATCTACATTGACCCCGGAAAAAACCGAGTCCCAGTTCAGCAAAGAAACCTGAGAATTGATGGCATTAAAATCACAATTATTATTAAAACAAAAACTAAGGGATTGGTTATCCATCGCAATATTTTTAAATTTATAGAATTGCAAGTGTAAAATAAGTGGAATATGGTGAAGACCAGGACACGACAAGGGGTCAAGGCATTCATGTAAAGAAAAATTCATATCATGAATGAAAATAAGATCTAGAATTCTACAAAGCTTATTTTTAAAACTATTTATCTGACTAAGATTAATACTCGAAAGATTGTCAATAACGTACGATTCGGAAAAAGTATTGATGTTTTTGGGATACAAAGTAGCGCAGGTGGCCGTATTTGCCCATTCAATATTGCTCAAGTTGAAATCGCCTAAAATGCAAAAGTTACTAGTTGTGTCCTTAGATGCTAAAGCTAGAACATTATCAGTATGCGCCTTATATAGAGCATCAGCACTAGAGGGAGGAATGTATGACGCAAATGGCACCGAACACGGACACGCACAGTTGGTCAAGAAGTAGATCATCATTCTCCAGCGGCAGACGCAGCGTGCGATATTTCTTCAGGACCGCCCCTCTGGATAGTCCAGTCCTGAGGGGATCACGATCTTTTCGAAACACGGTTGAAGGTTCGTGTCAAAGAATTTTCTGTCACAGAAATCCACACTAAGCCAACTCTCGATGAGCACAAAGAT